ATCTGCAAAGTAAATCACGTAAAACACCATGAACATCGAGGGTTCAGTGAGATGCAAGCACTCAAGATAAAAATATTCCTGGAGCGGTTTTTCGAGTGATATGCAGCCATATTCCTCCAAAACCTAAGTAGCGTCGCATTGCACATTCAAAGCATATCTTCCTGTGGGCGCTTTTAACTGATCCAGTGTACCAACGTGGCTTGCAGAGAGGTGATTTCAAGGAAGCTTTACTGTTTTTTCCCCTGTTCAATTTAGCTGTGCTTCCACTGAACACATCATCTTGCACGTTTCACATACGCCTGGAGGCATCTTCTTATTCAACAGAGTTGAATTGCCGGATATCTGCATTCGTGTTTACTGTCTAGATTGACTGGTGAAGGACACCTAAAGGGTCAATCTGACGTTTTCCGACGTTTAGTGGATAGGGTGACGAGGTTTGGTGGTTCAATCACCTGCGGTATGATAGTTCGTGAATACTTACAGTCTAATTCATCTGAGTGCCTTCAGTCATTTAATCATTCGAATCCATCAGCATTATCCCTCATAAGATGACATTTTAGGACGATTTAGCGGTCTCATTAGAGGGACGTGAGTCCATCTGGGAAAGCGAAGTCATTTTCTGTGCACTGATTCTCACATTCATTACCTATCGGAATTTTCGGTGGGCCTAGCTTTGATGTTAGTATTGACATATCTGAACTCGTGACGAAGCGTGCATAATTCCTGAGGGGGGCTACAGAAATTAACCAATGGACTGACTACGTTTTAATTACCAGGTCGTAGGCTAACACGTGGTCTTGACGAGTTTATTCTCAGTCCACTAAAATCAGACATGTGTAAGGAGAGCAGAAGTGAGACGCTTGAACGGAATGTACGTCGAGACTGTTTTGGGTAACAAAAACTTTTGTCAGATGTGGACTACCTTGCGGAAACTCTGTAGCTCACGCATCGGTTCTTGTCCCAACGTTGAGGTACTTAACCGTCAGTTTGCTTCTGTACCTGCATCTAGCTCCCTCCCACCTCCGTTTCCTACCCATGATGCAATTAACCCTGTTTCTCCGGAAGAGGTCCTCCAAGTTTGGAGGAGAATCAAGGCCAATAAAGCTCATGGTCCGGATGGATTAGCACCTCATTTATTGAAAGCCTGTGCCGACCAGCTTGCGACACCCATTGCCGAATTTTTCAGTACTTTTTGTCATCTGGAACGATCCCCGATTGTTGGAGGTCAGTCCGATCAGACCAATCCCAAAGAAAGAATCGTCAAAGTGCCGTCCTATTGCCTGCACATCTATGTTGCTGAAGGCTTTTGAAAATGTTTTGCTGCACCGCATGATACCTCAATGTAACTCTCGTGAAGCTTTACAATTTGCTTATAAACCCTATTTATCCACACTTGACGCCGTTGCTCATATTGCTCATTTTGTTGCTTCCGTCTTAGACAAAGGCGCTGGTACCGCTCGTTTAACTTTTCTTGACTATACAAACGCTTTTGGTTCTCTCGACCAAAGTGTGCTTACTGATCGTCTTCCTGAGTGTGGTCTAACTCCTGAAGTCTTGAATATACTAATCAACTTCTTCTCTCGTAGGACTCAGTTTACTTCACTCAATGGTGTACAATCTTCTTCTATTAACATTGAAGCCGGTGTTTTTCAGGGTGCCCTTTTGTCTCCTTACTTGTTTTCTATGTATATATTAAATCTTCCCATTCCAATCAACTTTATTGCTTGTAAGTATGCTGATGATATTGTGATCGGTTGCCCAGCTCCTATTTCAGACAGTTTTCGAGCTCTCCAGGACAGTCTTAATGAACTTCACTATTGGTCTGTGACCCGATCCCTTAAATTTAAAGTCAGTAAGTGCATCGAAGTTCCATTTAGTCTTGAAACCGGTCCCCGTTATTTTTCATTAGTTGATAATCTCCCTGATATTAGAATAAACAAACAAGGCATTCCCAAATCTGCATCTGTTAGACACCTTGGTTTCAACCTTACCCATAATCTGTCCTGCTCTGCTCATGTCATCAACGTTTTCACAAAATTCGAAAACTGTCCTTCTATGCTTACGGACTCAGGAAAATGGCCGTACCGCATAATCTTATTATTACATTTGTGAGTGCCTGCATTCTTTCAAACTGACTATACTGCTCCCCGATTTTTATCCCTGGACTGAAAGAAAAGGACTTCTCTTTATTTTCAAGATCCCTTCAACTTTTGTCCCGCTACAGTGGAGTTGATAAAGCTGTTTTAATTGATTTCTTTATTTCCAAACATCTTGACGCTTGTGATTGACAGGATAACGCATGATCAAGGGCACTGTCTGCACCAAGATATCGAAAAAGCCTTGTCATTTCCCCGGACACGCTCCAAATATCAACTTCTTCCTGCGCGGACTTCCACATATCGAAACAGTGTAATTCCATACATAGCTCGTTTACTAGTAAATCGTCAACATATCCTCACCCATCTCAGGGGAAAAACTCTTTCCCTATTTTTTTCTCCCATTTATTAAAGAGCGAATTTCTTAAACTGTATCTTTTTGTTTGGCAATTATTTTACCTATCCACTGCAAAACTCGTAAACTGCAGAAAATTCACCCTTTGGATGCATAAAGCTTTTCTTGACTTGACTTGAGAGAACGGACGGTGGACGCGGTAGGGTTAAACCGTCTAGGTAAATTGTCCGTAGCCAAGAGATGGGGAGGGACATAAATAGGTTTACCTAACCTACCTGGCAAGTGATTTGGGTCATGCCTCGAGTCATGCTGGACGTTGTCCGCATTTGGTGAAACGAGTTTGAGTGCTTCAACCAGCTATTTTCCTTCACACAACTTGTACTTTAATTAGCGGATGATAATTAACTCGTCTGTCGCTGGCGTTTTGATTTGATCAGACTTTTATTGGTCTTTTGGGCTCCGGTGATTGAGAAGAATGTCAGAATGGTGTCAAACAGACGCTCAATCTTGCTCCATCAAGCAACAAGTCGGTTTTCACTAAGGAAACTGCTTCGTAACACCTTATGGTGCAAATTCAGCTGTCCAATATCCACCCTCAAATGAGAATAAGTATAATTAAACTAGCTGAGGACAATTCATGCGAAATACCGTTCGAGTGGCATAAAAAGTGAGCAAGATAAGGAACTACACAAGGTGTAGAACGCTTTTGTACTTTCCTGAACGTGTTTGTACCTGGTGCAAATCAGGATGGTGACCAGAGTCCGACAGTATTTCGTGGGTCAGTTTATTACAAAACTTGAGGTGTTTGGAGATAGTATGGTGGATTATGTAAGTGTTGGGTACAAAACAACACATGGATAAATCTCTGAATGACCTGGGTATTACACAATAATACTAATACTACTACTACTACTAATAATAATAAACCAGGAAAAATCACTGAGGAAGCATTGACTCAGTGAGGAAAGATACATGCAGGAAAATAAAACGGATTATGGGATAGGAGAGAATTAATAAGTGCCTTAGGCGTAGGGTAAAAATGAAAGCGTTCTGACTTTACAAATATATTGTTGATGTGCTCAGACCACAGAAGGCAGTTATTAAGAAATTCAGTATCCTAAATTTTATTGATTTGAACGGACTATCCTTCGAACTTCACCTTCCACGCACAATCCTCAGTCAACCATACACTCGGAAGCATTAGACTGGAGTTTCGCTTTTATTAGAGATCATCAGTAGTGCATATCGACCGTCCGGTCCGGGATTTGAACTCCGGAGCCATTGCACAGAAGGCGTGTGTTATCACTGTGTTAACCAACTCATTTGGCCGAACCAAACTGCCAATTCGTATTTGTTCAGCTGTGTCCTCTTCAGTTATTATCCCGCACCAGTAACTCACCAATAGCTGTGAGTTAAATGCGAATCCGAATATTTCATTTGTTTCCGCAACTGAGGGGTGCATCGGTAATGAATAGAAGTTAGCACATCACAAGAGAATTGGAATATGATTTACCACGTTGGAGAGAAAATATAAAACATCAACACACTTAGATGGATTCACGAAAAGATTATGTGCGAACGATTAATCTTAAAGTACTGATAAATCAGGTTGGATAACGAGTGGAACAGAACTTGTACGATGGCGTAAATCAAGAATCACGTCATTAGCGCTATTTAGCAACAGGAATTCATTGCGAACAAGCATGGAGGCTGTGCGAGTACAATATTCTTCGAGAAGACAAAATGGTTACTTGAGGAACCCTCGGATTTGGAAACTAAGCCTGAAGAGTCTGCCTGTCTAGCGTGTGAACTGTTTTTCGAAGGAAAAATGGTTATTTAGCAGGGAAATGATAGGTAGAAGGACCGCATGGTTTCTCAGAACAAACAGCAACTGAAGTCTTTCAACACATTCGAATGCGTCACTGTTGAACTATTAGGTATAACCTCGTTTACTTGATGGATACTCGTAGTACAACCGCAAATGCGCCTAAATACCCAAATGAGCATTGAAGAGGTCAGCATAGGCAATATCACTTAAATGGGGATGTCCGGAACACGTCTCTAATGTGGGCAACATTGAACGTTGTCTTATCTGCCGCACTGTTTTGGCTGCTGGACCTGCTTTGCCTGAGAGTTTGATCAGTAAAGTCTTTTCCCCACAGCCAACTGTAGATTCCTACTACATTCTTACAGACTATAATCTATTCATCGGTTTTTGTTAGCGACTTAAATGTTTCAGGATACAAGTCTTGATTGATCTTGACAAGGAAAGCATTTGCTACCGGAAACAATATTAGCAGTCAGTTGAATTACCGTTATTAGCCAGAACGCAATTAAATTCGCGTGCTATGCAGTAGACAATACATTCATTTTTGAACGTTTCCTCACTTGTACCAGATTTTCCCAACTTTTTGAGATAATCCCAGCCATCTCGAATCCATCGACCTAGGGATCTGGTGGACAGGAAACGACATAGTATGGATTGTACCAGGGGTTCATTAAGATAAAAGCACACCGCTAGATCGAATGTTCAGCTGCAATTCAGTTGCACTTTTATCCGACAAAACAGAATCAAATTGCAGTAGGTGATCACGTCGATACGGCTTGAAGAAAACTCTTTACATTTTTCACAGTTGATGTAGTCTGATACTCCAAAACCCAGACCTGACGTGCTCAATCAGACCCAAGGTGTATTGTCATTGTCTGTCAACTCCATCTTGCCATCAGTTTTGACATGTTTTTCACGAGCAACGGAACGTCAACGCAAAGCGACCAGCTTTCACAAACAGAAGCATAAAAGCGATTCACGAGGGTGTCTGGGCGTGCTTGTGATTTGTGATCGTCCATTTCCGTTTGAGAGGCAGTCTCGTTGGATAAAAGTGTAACTGAACCACAGGTGAACGTTTTACCCAACATTGTGTTTCTGATTCAGTGAATCCGATGGTAAAACTGGGTTTTTGCTTATCAAGAACCTAATAAACAACTTATTGATTCGATATACACATCAAGATTCAGAAATTTGCCGATATTGAATGTTTGTCCTCCCTTGAATTGAACGGACGTATGTTGGTGTGTGTCAGTATAGTTGAGGAACATGTATACAGTTAAACACCTTGTACTCCAGGGTTCTAGATAACAGCCATATGCGTCCGGATGAAACTGTGAACGACTCGATGCGATGAAGTTTTATTCAATAATGTTTTAACCAGTATCGTAGTATTGAAAACTGTTCTTCACAGTCGGGATTTATATTGAAAGATAAATCTTTTATCTACTACTACTTCTATGAGATGGATGTTAATTGTAAATTATCAATTTGTCCAGTAATTATGAAGTGTTGGGATATTTTATTTCCCAATCTATCAACAAAGGCTTAATTACGGACCTGCTTTATTGAGCTACCGTATAGTATGAGGCCCATTGAATAGGTGCGCCACCGTTGCGTTCTGGAATTTATCTGCCCAAATTGCTAAATATGCGTGCTTTGACCATATACACAAAGGAATTCATGTTAAAAATTAAGGATATTCTTATGAAAAACCATACTGCGTTGTTTGGAGTGCCAGGTACTAGCCAAGCACACAAATAATGCAAACGTGAAAAACTCATTCGTGCCGATTGGCAAACAGCTCTTGATCGTACCACTCCCAGCAAGTTGACTGTATCTACCATTATGAGCGACAATGCCCTGTCTGCATTTGAAGGGCTTCCGTATTCATCCTACGTGCTCCAGTGAAAGGAATTTCGCAACTTTTGTGTCTTGTGTCTTCCAGAGTCATGGGTCAATGGTAATGTGAATGATTCCGTGGTCCAAATAGATAATTTTCTCTGCTTCAGACAAGAAAGACAACGGTGGAGG